TACTCTACAGCGGTACGGTACTCTGCCGTTAAGACATGGGAGAGGGAAGGGAAAAGTACATGGGAAGACGGGACTGCTCAGCTCTAATGCATATTTTCCCTGTTATTGACCTACTCTCTTGATTATAACTATTCTCTTAAAACTACTTAAACTAAAATTCAGCTTCAATCTGCTTCTAGTGGCGTATAATGACGCGTAAAATTCGAAACTTTAAGTTTTAAATGTAATTCGAAATGATTTAGTATTTGAGGGGTTGATTAATTCATTTTTTTTTTGTCTTCTTGGGCTATATTTCCCTACGGCTTACGGATTGTATTGCCGGTAAATGGACCCTAGCCTAAATTTTGTTGGCTACTGGGCTATTCTACAACATATAAACGTAGATGTAGAAAGTAGAAAAAATATGTAGATAATGATAATAAAATATGTAGATAATAAATAAATCAAATTCTCGGCGCTATTGTCGCTGCTGAGGGATCTCGGATTCTGCTGCTGCTGCTGGTGCTGATTGATCGGTTGATGGATATATAACTTCACTCCTGTTGGCGCTTTTGTTCTCCAGACGCCTCTTACGCCCAAGCCTGGCTTTTGGCGGACCGGGGTTATGTAATTAGGTGCCACCTAAAAACATTACGGCGTTCAAACACCACTTTATCAACTTCTCGCACTCAAAAAACTTACCCACTAGGGGTTGGCACTTTAGCACTTGTGTTTTTTTTTTGGTTTTTAAGCCACTTGTAACGGCGATTGCCGGGAATTTTGGAAATTTTGGATTTCCTTTAATTTGTGTAACTTTGATCTTTGCACTTGCAACTAACTTCTTCTTCGATCCACTGGTAATTTTGGTGTGACTCCAAACGAAATTGACTTCGGGTCGGGACCCTGAGTCCGACCTGTAGCTCAAGCCTACTCACCAATTTGGTGAAGTTTTGGGAGTTCTGGCTCAAGAGACTATATTTTCTACTAAACCATGTAGACCAAACTCTGTTGCCTACTTTTGGGCCGAAAGCAATCTTAGCCAAAAGACAAGCAATCCTACACAACCAATGGCCTATGGTTAAAGCGCCCAACTTTGTACAGTAATTGAAATCTGTTTCAGGATTCAAGGAACGTGACGACACAACGTAAATTTAAATGGAGAATAAATGACTGCTTCTTAGTGTTATAAGTGACTCTGATTTAGGTCGAACACACTCACACACCCACTCACACTCACACACACACACATCTACACAAAAATGATTCAAGGATCAATTCTAGAAATCAAATCCAAATATATATTCCATTATATATTCAATAAGTCTATCGTAAACCTTTATTGCAATCAATATTTCAAATGTATGAATCTATATAATTACAATTATCTATAATTCAGCCCTTTATAGATCATGTAGAGCCTTTGTTATACGTATGTCCTATAAAATTGTTTCCCCCACTCTCTCTCATATACACAAAATGTACAAAATTGGTTCTCATAAATAATTAAAAATTAGAAAAAGAAACAACAAAAACGCAGCGAATTTTATTTGCAATCAAAGCTAAGCCCAATTAGAATTGCAATTAAAACTAATCGTTTTAATATTCGAGATGGAGATTGAGTTTCTGTTTAAACCCTCTTGAAAAAAAGTGTTGATTTGTACGAGCTCAAGATATATACACGCTTATATATCACTCACCTCTTATACCACAATAAACGAAATAATTGACTATATGCATATTTATACGCCAATTACATGCAAAACATCTAAAAAAATAAAAATTTAAAAACCAAATCGAGCGGAAAACAAGAATTATCTAATTATTTGAATGCAACTTAAATTCCTATTAATTATATATGAAATATCTCTATAAAATATCTCTAAAGAATCACAATTAATAACAGTACGAAAAGAATGAATAAATACAAGAATATTTCATACTAACCAATTTGGATTTTCTACTTTGTTAAAACGGCTGAATGTTGGCATACTTTTAGGGGCTAGTTTTCTTACCATTTTCTGCCTAATATATTAGATAAAACTCTTAAAAAAGCTATATCCTTTTTAAGGATTCAGAAAAGTAAGGATAGAAATGGTGAGTGGATTGTATTGTACAACGCATTAAACTAAAATATGAAGTTTTAATTTGAAAGAACGAATATTCGATGAAATTAATGCAACGACATTTTGTAACATTTGATTAAATTTAGCTCCTCTGTGCGAACGCAGCTTATCGTGACTAAGAGCTCTTTGACGGTCTGTCACTGCAAATGGAAACATCAATCACATGTCAATCAACAATGAAAGTAGGGCACTTCAGTGCTCACTCTCACATGCTAACCCCCCTTGGACATGCAAATTGTGTGCGTTTTACGCATAAAAAGATGGCAACAAAAAACGTATCCTGATTATCGCCGGGAAAAAAATAAGCGCAGAGGGAAACGAGGTGCCAGGTCGGGTCAAACGCGTGCTGTGCGGATATGCCACATGGATGGCTAAATGGAGCGAATGCATCGAATCGCATCGACCTACACCCCAACATGCACAACCCTCCCTCCCGTGGACTCTTTCATTTGTGATTTTGCATAGAATTCCGGTCTGGGTCCAGAATTTTCCTCATTTTCATGTCAGCCTTGATTTTCTGTTTGGCAACGTTTTATATAGTTAAAGCGGATTATTTTCATGGCCATTGTGTCGGCGCGCCCCCGTCCACAGAATGCCAGGAAATGCCTCGAATCGAATCCCGAACCGAAACGAACCGATCCTCGGACCCTCGGACAATGCCTGGCTGCACTTCTACTTCCCCAACTTGAATTGCATTCTGTGTGCGAGTGCCAGGACGCCTTGTTAATCCTGTTCCAATTACGCGCATGTGAGTGCCTGCCTTTTCATCCCATCGCATCCCTAATGGGCACTTTCGCTTTTGTCCCTTTGGCCGGCTTTGTCCGTCTGTCCATCGACCACTGGCCATCGGATTGAGACCGGCTCAGGACAGCCAAAATATTGATTACAAACTGTGCGACGGCTGGCTCGAGCTGCTCTGTGTTTTGGGTTCTTTAGCATTTATTTACTGTTGATAAAAAATCAAACTGACCCTCAGTGACCCCTCAAACATTTGCAGCAGACGCCCTCAGGGCTTTCCCATGTTTTTTATCCTTTTTCGCCATCAATTGAGTCTTCAAATTTCATGTATTTCCGTTAGAAAGTAAAAAACAAAGTGAATTATTTTTTTACCCATACTGTTTAGACCAGTTTCAGGGGTTTTTGATAAATGCGAATAATAGATTTATTTCTAAAACTTCCTCCAATTGAATATCTTTCTTACTTTATTTTTTACCTTACTTAATTCATTTTTCTAAATAAGTCTTTAAGTTATGAATGCAATGGAATGCCATATCAGTAAACAAAATATTTACAGATTAAAACTAGAAAATATTGAAAGATTTTTACAGAATTGGATTTTTTTAGCCTCGAATTTGTCTATTTATCTATTTTAAACTAGAATATAAAATGTTCATTACATATTTCTTCTAATTTTACAAACTCCATTCGTGTAATTCTATCTACTTTCACTCAAAATCGGCCGAGTTTTTGCCAATTTACGAACCACAAAACGTCCATTTGATTCCTCCCCTACGAATTCGATTTTCGCTACAGTTTCCGCCCTCGGATCCGCTGTCATCAATGGCATTGGTCATCGATTCGGCACGCCAGCGGGGCACGTGCCGAAATTAATTGCATGCAAGCCGGAGTCACAGGATCAAAAGGGAGAAGGGAGGAAGAGAGTTCGCAAATATGTTGCACAATGCAGTTGGGGTGCAGATTTCGTGTCCTCGAGGGGTTGAAATGCACCCAAAACTCACAGCTGCCCGGCACGCGACTGAAGCGAGGGTTGCCGACCGCCAGTTGCAGTGCAGTTTTTTAGTGTACTTTTTTTTTGGCACTCGCCAATCAGGAGAGTTTGTTTTTTACGGGCATCATTTTTTTGAAAAGAATCTGCCTATCAGAAATTTCCACGATTTGGGGTGTCCACATACTTCATTTTTTAAATCAAGACTTTGAGTGAAAAAATGAAATAAACTCATTGTATGATTTTTGGAACAGAACCATCTAACTTAATTTTGATAAAAACTTTTTGATAAACTAAGCTTTGACCTTGTGACCTTATAACCTTTATTTTATTAATCGTTATAAAATTATAGTTAAAAAAGCGGATTTAACTGTATTGCCAAAAATTAAAGTTCCCTGGAAAGCATGTAAATCAATTAAGAATTATATTACGAGCTCAACGAGGTAAGACATTTATACTTTGAAGCATGTGCCTAATACAAGATTTTTTGTTATTGCAGTTTAATACTGACATACCTATATCGCCTCGGCTAGTCCTGATCAAGAATAACTTCTACCGGTTTATACTATACGAAATCAATATACCTACAACAAAGTATTTATTTGAACAAAGAATAACAGAGTACCAATAAAAAAATATATAAAAAAAATACAAAATTGTCAAGACTTTTTAATTAGTTAATAATAAGTAATAATAAAAAATGTAATTACAAAATTTTCTAAAATTATTCGTACACAAATTTTTAATTGAAAGTTATTAAAGCTTAACTGTATAACAGTTTTAATTCTCAAGTATCCTGAAGTGCGCTCGGCTCACGCACTTATTGAGTGCTAGATACAGATACATCCGAATGTGAATCCGAAAGTGTGCTCGACATTTAGGGTCTTTAGGTCTATGGCTCGACATAGATAAATTTGGCTCTCTTTCTAGCGTGCTCTCTATGTTTTTCGGTTACTCTCCCCGTGATCGTCATGTAGAGTATCTGTCAGATACATTTACGCGGTCTAAACACGCTCAACTCGCACCGAATCGAGGCGAATCCACTCAACTCAGCTCGATGTTTTCCACGCTCACTCACACACACAGAACGAAACAGACCGAGTCGAATATTGTTTTCAAGATACTGAGCTAAACATTTTTCGGGCCTGCTGCGACCTTCCTAGAAATAGTCAAACGCAACGCGGAGTCAGTGTGACGAAGTGCGTCGTGCGCAGCGGCAGCGTTTTTCCTTCCATTCCCCTCAGAAAATCGAGAAAGTGCCGAGTATCTGTGTGAGTGCGGGCAGTGAAAGATACAGATACAGTTACATCTTGGGCCACATGTGTGTTCGTTGGCAGGAAAACCATGCATTTTCAGTGAATTTTTAAACAACAACGAATTTTGGAGCGAAAAATCAACCAATTTAAGTGGGAATAAGATAGTTGAGAAAACAAGGAGACAGCATGGAAAACTTACAGCAGGAAAATGGATTGCAAAGGAGGACCAGTCAGAGTTCCACTTCGTCAGGTTTGTTTAGAGTGAAACTAATTTCCAACTAATGCATAAACGTCACACAACAGAACACCTCCCCCTTCCCTTCCCTTCCCTTCCCTTCGCCCAACAAACTTGTTTTGTGTTCCAAAAAAAGCGACAACAAATTCAATATGAAATCTTATCAAAGTCGAAGCTGATTGGCTGTGCGATCGCCCTAATATTTGGTTTCTGTTTTTGTCTGCCTGTTTTTTACTCTGTTTTTATATACTGCGCAGTTCTTTATTCGCTGGCGTGTGTTTTTTTCGGTTTCTGTTGTGTTTTTGCCATTCGCTGATTTGATTTTTTATTGGCAAATCGAGGGGGTTCCTATTCCTATTATATACCCGGAGGTGTCATCAACCCCCGAACGCTGACCGACTTTCCGTCATCAACCAGAGCCCATCAACCCCACCCCGTCGATCAAGGACACAGCAGTCCAGCAGCAGAGGATTATCATCGCCTCAATGCATTTGAGGCAGAAGATCTCCCAGATTTACTAAGCTAATTGTGCCAGGAAACCAGTTTGCTACTTTTTACCTATAAGAAATGGGCAAGCAGAAGGGATTGAAACCATTCAAAGGATAATCGCAGTGGTGGTGGTTTGACCAAATTGAAAGATTTTCATTCAATAAGGTTTCTTATCAGACGCAAAAGAATTTCCAAGATCTTGAGAGTCCATTCACGTTGTTCGGTGGGGGGAAATGAGTGAGAAAAGTGTGTGGAGCGGGGCGACCTAGAAATGCCAACAACCCCCGAAAATGAAAATTTTGATTTCAGATAAGCCACACGGAGAAGCACAAGAATGCAGTGCGAGTATCTCAGAATATCTGGGCGATACGATACTACGGAGTACAAGAGGCCGTTTTAAAGAAAGATAAGCATGGGGCACACAGCCAGCGAAATGGGAACGAGCGAAGTGAAAACAATTTATGAATGAATGAATGAACCGATGGGCGTGCGACTGTGTGCGTGAGTGAGATGAGCCCCTGCTTAGATAATGGAATGAATCCACTCCGCGCTCTTTCGGTTATTTCCAAATATGTCTTATAATAACAACGAAACCTGTTTTCTGCCCTTAATGGGAGTGGTGGAATGGGGACGTGGAGGGCTAAAGAATTGGAGGGGCGAGGAGGGAACCTAACCCAAGTTGAACTTGCCTCGCGGCAAATGGGGCAAGGACACCATGATGATGAACAAAAACATTCAGATCCCGAGTTGTTCAGCTGCCTTGCTAGCGCTCATTTGAATAACAAAACCTTGACAGGGATTCCCAGACAGGATATCGAATTGAGCTGCGAACTCATGTTTCCTCTCTATTCTATTCCATCCAGCAAATCCTGCAAATCCTGCGAGTCCTGCCGAGGAATGCGGCTGTGTGCGCCTGGGCAAATGCAAATGGTTCAACGTGGCCAAAGGATGGGGCTTCCTAACCCCCAACGACGGCGGCCAGGAGGTGTTCGTCCATCAGGTGGGTACTACTAACTAATTAAATCATTTACTTAGGTTTATAAATAAGTGAAGAAGGAAATCAAGTGTGGTAAATATTTTAATGGGAGTAGTTATCACAAGACTACTTCAAGTTCATGTCAGCTTTTAATGTTAAGTAAATATAGGTAAAACTTAAGCTTCATAAAACTGAGCTTAAGATTCTTGGTCCTTATTATAAAGCAACTGAAATAAACTATTAAGAGAGATACTAAAGGTAAATTTTTAAGGTTATAATAGTCTAATAGATATTAAAGTCTTATAGACTATTATAACCTGAAATATTTAAGATAGATATTATAGGTAAATATTTTAGGTTATAAAAGTCTAATAGTTATTAAAGTCTTGTAAATATTTATCATTAATATCTTTCTTAATAGTTTAGTTAAGTTGCTACCTAGTCTAATAGGTAGAATCTTAAAAATACAAATCTTGACTTTTTCTCAATTTTTTTTATTAAAAAAAAACTGATTTGTTTTGATTTTTGTTTTTGTTTTTATACGTTTAGTGTTTATATAAACAACAAGGACATTTAAATAAATTTCTTTCAGTCCTGTAAAGTAATAAAAAATAACCAACACAACATCCTTTTAGAGCGTCATCCAAATGGCCGGTTTCCGTTCGCTGGGCGAACAGGAGGAGGTGGAGTTCGAGTGCCAGCGCACGTCGCGCGGTCTGGAGGCCACCAGGGTGTCCGGGAAGCAGGGCGAGAACTGCCACGGCAGCACCTACAGGCCACGCATGTGAGAGGCTTGTCCAAGTTCCTGCCCCACCCCTTGCACTAATGTTCCTAAAAAGTAATTTTTAAAAACCAACCCCTCCACCCACAGAAATCGCAGGACTCGCCGCATGCGCTGCTACAACTGCGGCGAATTCGCCAACCACATTGCCTCCGAATGCGCTTTGGGTCCTCAGCCGAAGCGTTGTCATCGCTGCCGTGGAGAAGACCACCTCCATGCCGACTGCCCGCACCGTAATGCGGTGAGTACTTGCATCCCACACACGATGTACATCCCAATTCAGGACTAATCCTGGACTAATTCCCCTTGCAGACCCAAAACCACAGCAACAGCGACAACAGCAGCAGCAGTGGCATTCAAGAAAAGGGCGATGAGGCCACCTAGGCGATCCGTGGACAAAGGATTGGTAGTTGGAAGTTCCAAACTTCTTTGAAAAGTACAAAATGGAAATCTAAGAAAAAAAAATCACACGCATCAAATCAAAGAAACCCACGTACAACAAAACTAGCTACTACTTTTAGATATTAGGCGGGGGATGAAACCACCCCCAAAGACCAGGCTATCCTAAGTTTATCCTCTATTTTAATATTATTTTCTAGGAACCATAGATACTAAGGTTTTTGACTAGAGCGCAAGTAAATGAATTAAGCTAGAGAGTATTTACCGGTCAGTTATTGTAAAGTCAGAGCTTTTGCACCCTTGGGACGAACTTAAAGCTCCGTGGTGATAAGAAAGTCCTGTTCGAGTCACGTGGCCGCTGACAACAATGAAGCTTTCCTTGGGGCAACAACAAAATCACCATGAAAACGCAGAATCATTGTAAGCTGGAAACCAGAAGCCCGAAACCTGAAACCTGAAACCCACCCACCCCCTGAAAGTGAAACAGAGTGAGCAGCAACAACAAATGGATTGGGCGAGGACATGGCCGGGAGGAGGAGGAGGTCCTGCCTTTCTTTCGCTCCTTTTGGCTCTTAGCTCTTGGCCCTTTGGCTGTTTTTGTTGTGATTTGGCTCGGGCTCTCTCCTGCTCTCTCTCGCGATTTTTGTCCTTCGCCAAGGAAGCGGGAGCAGAGCAGGATACCCAAAAGGATGCAACTAAAGCCTGAATCGAGCTCAGTCTTAGTTGATCTCTGCCAGCGAATTGTTGTGTGCAACGCGGCGGAACTTACATTTTACAATAAAAACATTTTAACACAGAAATATATAAAGAACCCAGTTTAAGGACAGCCAAATCAAATCATCAACTTAAACAACAAAAAACAATAACTTAGACAACTAAAAGAATTTCAACAAAGTTAACAAAGCGTTTCAGCAACAAATTTTCAACAAAAAACTCAATAAATACAATTAAAAAATTTAAAATACAAAAAACCCAAAAACATTTGTACAATTTTTTTTTTGCATAAAAAGTAAAAGTTTGTCAACGCATAAAAAGCATAGAAATATGGAAACGAAAAATGCTAGCGAAAACTAAGAGTTCAAGGTTAAGAGAAAATGCGAAAATGCACCTTTTTAACGGGGCAAAGCAAACAATAATAAAGCCAGGCATCAACTGACAATAACAATAACAATAGCAACGTCAACGTCATCGCATATTCATTTGGGCCAAACCACACACAAACACACTTACACCAATACAAGCACAAGCATACACCAACACACACATACAATTTACAACCAGATTTACATGGGGAGCGCCTGTTATGTAATATCCTCCTTCTGACGCTGTCTCCTGTCATGTTCCAAGTCCTTGTTCCTTGTTCCCTGTGCCCATTTCACGATTTCCTCGTTTCCTGTTTCTCGCTTGCGAGTGTGTGAGTGCTCGAGGGGGTGTGGCAAGCCACATGCACCTCGGATTTGCTGCCCCTACGGGTGCTAATTTGATTTAACTCGCTGCATGGGCACGGCATTGAGACATCGGGCCGAAGGACGAAGGACACTGGCACATCCACTGGCCCATCCCATCTATTGGTAACCCATAAAAATAGGGACGCGCCGAGGTGTGTCTGCTTTCTTTTTTTCCTTTTTTTTGTTTTTTATGGCATGCAAATCGGGGCCAAAACAGAAATATTACGCATACGCCGCGTGCTCGATGATGAGTTGACGGAATTTTCACAAAAAAAAAGGAGTTATTGGGCTGGGCCTAATTAACGAATGTGTGTCATAATGCGACAGGCGTTAGTAGGTCAAGTAGATGCGATGCTGGGCGGTTGGAGGTCGCCGCAGGTTCAGTGGGGGAAAAGCTCTGGCCAAAAGGGCAACCCGAGGACGAGGACGAGGTATGAGGAGCTGAGAAGATGAGTCGCGTTTTTCGAGAGCAAACTGTGCGACAAACGAGTGCGAGTAAATAAATAGATGGGCGTTTCTGGCCATTCAGCAGACATTATTACACATTCGCCCCGTGGCCCTGGGTGTGGGATAATCTCTTCGCATTTCAATTATTTTGCAATTTTGTAAATTCTCAATGTACCCACACTCTATACTTTCGTTCTCTCTGACTGTCGTTTGCACCTCACTTTCACTTTTCTTTGCCTTACCTCACCCACATTTTGATTTGTACTCGATTTAATGTTTTTCACTCCCCTATTCTGGCACAGGCAATGCAAGAATGAATCTCTACTCTCTGTCTCTGGCATGATTCGAATTAAAGATAACGAAAACTCTAACCTACATCAGTTAATCTAACAAATTTATAAACGGTTAAAAGTTCCAACAACCAAAAACACAATGTACAAAGTCTAAACATGTTTAAAACTCCTACCTAAACAACAAACTAAAACGAAACTAAGGCAACTGCAGTTAAAGTGCTAAATCCATAGAGAGACATCACAAAAATCTTCCAAATAAATTGCAAAAGGTAAGTGTTTTACACGTTCTTTCTTAAAATATAGATGTACTGGTTTATTTCAACGATTCTGAGTGTTCTTAATAGTTATTTAATGCAATCTTATGAGCACCACTTTCCACTTGAATGAATGAGATTTTTGTACCTGGTTTCATTTGCTAAATTACATTTCCTTACGGAGATCGACTCCATGACACGAACACGAATTTCTGACTATAAAGGCATCTTTTCAACGGCTAAATTCCATGCGGGCAGGCCGCGGCACACGTAAATGCAGCAGTTGTAGATATTCGGCTCCACCTTGCCCTGCTGCACCAGCGAAATAATGGAGCACAGGCTGCCGAGATGATAGTTGGTTTGCTCGTCCATGGTGGGCGTCTTTTCTTCCTTTCCTGTAATAAATTAATTTAAAAATTGTAATCCCTAAAAAATGCTAGATATTTTTTCATACGAACCCACCTTTTATAATACCATTTTTGAGCCAGGATGGGCGGTCGATATGGGTCCAGGGCATTACTTTCTTATTACCCGGGGCCAGCCAAAGACTCAGGAGTGTCACCGATACTGTATCCATATTCGCATCGAGGGCGGGCATAAGTGTGCCCACTATCGAGGGACTCAGAGCTCCGTGGTAATAATCATGGGCTCCATACAAGGCGCTGTACAAGCCAGTGCCCATCATCCGCGTAGAATCGCAGCCGAATAGGAAGACTACGCTGCGAACACGAGCCCGGCAAATCGCCTTTCCATTGACGTACTGCAGCCCCGAACCGTGACCTGCATATCTGGAAATAAAACCATTAATATTAGAGTCTCATTATTAATAGTAAAGCTAGTCTTACACAAAACAATCGGCCTGGAGGGCTCGCTTCACCATCAACTCCTCGTTGGGCACGGTTTCGAAGTTATGCTGCCACTGCGATAGCCAGTACTCAAAGAAGCTGCGCAATCTGCGGCCGGAGTTGACCAAATCGCCATCTGGATTTATTACACACATGCCCTGCTTGATGTTCGTTGTGTAGTAGCCATACTTTATGTTTGTTTTGTGATGCTGGTACAATCGCCAAAGGCAATGCAGTGATTTGACCCGAGAGAATTCCTGAACGGTGACTAGCTGCTCCCAGTGGAGGTGGTCCAGGCGCTAGAAAGCAAGTAATCTTATAAGAAAACGATGATTTTATGGGCGAATTAGTTAGTGTACCTCATCGACTACCAGAATGGTGGGAAATCTCCTGCCCGCCAGCGGCTGACGCTCCTCCAATTGCGTCCATTCGCTGGCCAATCCTTTGAGCATCTCGTACACCGTCTGATACTCATTTTCGCTATCCGACAGTTCATCGCTGATTGCCTTGAGATCCCCGCCATTCAGTCGATTGGCATGCAGAGCGGCTTGGGAGAGCAAAACACGCTGGTGACTGCTCCACGCATTTACCAGGCAGAAATCATCCACAAGGGTATATGTGCTCTTGATCTGCTTTTGCACCGCCCCGCAGTCATAGCGTTTGCCAAAGAACAGAAAGGAATAGGGGGAGATTATGTCCCGGAAGTCAGAGAGCAGTTTCTAGAGGAGATTACCCATTGAGAAGTGAAATTTCATAGGTTTAAGGTCTCGAACTTACTTGCAGAAAGGCGTCGAAGGCATTCAGCTCCTCCCAGTACTTTTGCTTGGCCTCCTTGCCCTTCATATTGAGGGGATCCACGGTGACCACTCGCCTGAACCGCTCCACCAGAGTGCTATACTCTTGGAAGAGTTTGGCCAGCTTCTCGTTGGCGAATCTCAGGCAAATGGGTCCAATTAGGGGGCTTCTACAGTGGCGCAGCAGGGTGAGATATATGGCTCCATCGCTGGCTATAATCTCGTTGTGCACCGAGTAGGTGGTGGCGGGATTGAAGCTCTTGCAGAGCTGCAGGACACACCATTCCTCGGGCAGGCTGTTGCATATATTTGAAATGCGGGTTAGACCCTCTGTGGGATCCTGTGCATCCGCCAGAAAGTCCAGGTACTCCAGGGATTCTTTGGTTGACTTCTCGGCCGGTTTCTCACGCTCCTTTTGTTGCAGATTCTTGATGATGTTGCGCAGGAATTTCTTACTAACGATTATGTTTATTAGAAATGTTAATCCTAAAGGGTTTTAGCATGATATCCTACCTTTTAAAGTCCTGTTTTTCCTGGTTAGTGGCTGATTTTATCAGCTCCTCCGTTGTGGGCCGCAGATTTTCCAGTTCCGCCGCCTCGGTGAGATAACGCAGGTCGGTGGACTGGAATTGGGCTTTAACCTGGTAGTAAATCGAGTGCTCCACATTGTCATTGCGATATTCCTCATCGGCACGCAGTAAATTGTATTCTATAAGAAAAAGCAGGAAAACATTGAAATTGCATCGGGACCCCATCAGTTATAGGGACTTCTCCTGCACTTACCCTTCGCCTCAGGACCCACATCCGCACTGGTAAATCCGGCCAGTATCTTGGCCTCACCACCGACCTCCAGCATTTCTTTATATTGCTAATACTTTTAATTGTTTGTTTTTAAAATCTGGCGGCGTCGGCGAAAAAACTCCACAAGTTGCCTCTTTTGTGGGGATTTTCGGTATTTATATACTGCCAAAAATATACCACATTCAATTTTAGGACCTTTTGCCTTCTTGCAGAAAATCGATACATCAGTATGGTCACCCTAAGCAGATACACAATCCCTGCGTACATTTTAGTATGACCATATTACCACGGTTTTTGTCTCGATTAACCCTAACTATATTTTAGTGCGACCATATCCTGTAGGAACTAGTTCATTTGAATTTGGCGGTAATATTCAAGTCCTTTTGAGAAAAAGAACCATTTTACAGTAACATTAGTTTATTATTTTCTAAGGAAAAGATCTATTGCTTTAATAAATCTAGTCATTTAATTTAATAACCAAAGAAAAATACCCATGAAAATAGAACAAAATGATGTGAAAAACCCAATAATAAGTTTCCCTTACCTAGCTCAATTTAAAAAACATATTTTTAATGTGTGTGCAAAGTATAATGATATTTGTTAATTAGAAAGCAATTTTTGGCAAAACAGCTTATAGTACAACTCATTTTTGGTGGTTGTTGTCAGTTAAAAGCTTTTCCCTCGTTGTGGCTTCTGGCCGTTCATTCATAAAAACATGAATCGAGATGAAAGGTGCAAGAGATTGCAGGTTGGCCGAAAAACAGATGTTAGGGTTGTCATGCCGCTCGATGGAGGGTGAGCAGCGAAGCTGCGCAGCAACCACACCCTCTGAAAAAGGATTCAAAAATCATTTAAACATTTGCAAAGCTGTTATTTTAGCCAGATATACAAGTGTATTTGTTGGCTAACTGGGCAGTTTTATTCAACCTGTGGTCTAGTCTTGATCCTTTAATGGCCATTGGTTTTTGGCAACCCTAAACCACACCCTCCAGTTGCCCTAAAAAGCCTTACGCAACAACAAAAGCCAACACACACGCACACACACACATATTTACAAAGATGGCCATTTTTTGCAGCCATGAACAAAAACAACAATGAGTTTTGTCCATTTTTGGTTAACTTTTAAGCTGCCACTTTTTGTTGGTTTTTTGTTTTGATTTTGTGACGTGCCTTTTGAGCTCGGCTTCTGTCGCTGCCTCTGTCGACGTCAGCTGCAAGCTGCAGTTTCCTAATGACGTCTTTTGGAGGCAGCGAGAGATAACGGTACTTAACCGATGTGAGTGGGTGGTACGAGCTTTAATAAAAGCGGCCACGCCTCTTTTAAAACGAATTTTACCAATTTACTTTGACTTAATAGGAATATGTCTTAAAAAATCCCGAAAATCTTTTAAAAATATTTAAAAACTATAAAAATGCAGGCGGCCAGAACGAATAATTACCGTTAGAGAAGCTGCAGCTGGTCGCTGTCTTGACTTGACGAAAGCTTCGTTAAATATTGAAATGGCGCAGCGGCAGAAAGGCTTTCTCTCTCTCGCTGCCGCAGTCGGCGGAGGCAGAGGCTGAAGCAGAGGCAGCGACGCCGGCGCTAGCATCCTTTCTACTTATTAATTTTGATGTTGCTTTTCACTTTTACTTTGTGGGAACGTGCTGTTTCAAAGTTTCGCTTGGTTGTGGAGCAGTGTTGGAAAATAGAGTCGGGCTTGGCTTTAATTGGGAATTTCTCGGTTGATTGGCATGCTGAAAGACCCCTCCCCCACCAAAAACCACCTTAAACCCCACCAAAAATCACCATAACCCCAACCGAATCACCCCTTATCCTTTATGTTTTTTGGCTGCATTATTGATGTCCCTAACTCGGCACGTTCGTTGTCCTTTCCGCCTAGCAAATTATAACATTAATATTACATTAACACACACGTAGACACACTCACACACACATATGCATTGGGGAGACATTAAAACTTTCGCACACAGCAGCAGCACATGTAACGAAGGGCCAAAAACAACAAGAGCAGAGCCACCCCAAAAAACAAAGAAAAAAGAAAGAAGAAATTAAAGAGAGTGTGTGTATTTGAGTGTGTGTGTGTGGCACACATTCCAACAGTTGCAGCAACGTCGCTGCCAGCTGCGCAGTCGGCGTCGCAGCATCCCTCTGCATTTGAGCGACTCAAAACGAATTTCGAAGTCGCCGTCGACGGTTGTGTCGCTTTTTTCTTGCTTCAAAAAATACTAACCTAAACAAAATAAAGCTTTTAACTAAATCACAAAAATAAAAAGAAAACCCACAGTAAATAATTCAACAAAACCGAAGCTTAAAAGTAACGAAAATTCCTTAGAAAAGCCATTGATGAAAAGCGACGAAAAAGTGTAGCATACTTTTGTGCCCGAGTGGAAAAAACGCCCACGAGGCAGGCGAAAATGAATTAATCAACTAAAAGTCAAATAGTAAACATTACCCAACAAGAAACGACATTTAAGTAAATTAAGGTGTGGTGATTTATGCAACTTTTTTGAGGCACACACGCTGCGAAAAGAGAGGGGGGTGGGGTGCTGAAGGGGGGTCAAAGCCACTGCACATACCTCTAAGCTAAGCCACACACACACACTCAGAAAGAGAGGAGCAGAAGAGGCTGAAGGCATACAAAATAAAGGATAATGACGGAAAACCAAGAAAGAAATCGAAATTAAAATATAAGCCTGTGGGAAAGGGAGAAGGCGAAGAGGGAAAGCCAAAGGAAAAGGGGGAGGAGGTAGAATTTTCGGCTGTCGCTGTAATTCGACGCTCATCTCCTGCTCTACTTTGCTCTCTTTCTCCGCTCTTTCCCTGGCTCTTCTGGCTCTGCTCCTCTCCCGTTTCGTCAAGTAAAAACATTTCGTTTGGGCTTCGTCAAGTTTTGTAGGTATTTTGGCTACACGAAAATACACAGCGCCTTCATCCTGCTCGTTTTCGTGGCGAAAAAAGGAAATTCTCGACATTTCCAGTTCAAATCACTTAAAAATACACCGAAAATTCCTCTTAAATATAGTGAAAAGTGATCCTTTAATAATAAACGAAATTGGTTTCTGAAATAGCCCAAAAAAGCAGGCCAAAAACGAACTTTTTTTCGGTGGGCCGCGAAAGGCGTTGCCAAATCAAAGGCCACAGGATAAAACAACAAATCCCCAACTAAAACGCAAACTAAATCCTAATCGAAGGCACTAAGCAAAAACTAAAAGATAATACCAACTAAAAAAATATACAAAAATTAATCATACGCACCGTTAAAAAGCACCAAAGTGAAAAACTGACAAAGGATGAAAATCACAAGGAAAAACTAAGAAAATAAAGGACAAACAAAGGAATAAAACTCTCCAGAGGAGAAGCAAAAGCAGCAGCATCAGCAAAGAACATTCTGATGCATAAATAATACACTCGACACACGCATACGTATACGCCATATAGGCCAGGACATACCAGCAGGATACCACGCACGCACACACACATACGGACGGACAGGACGTGCTCCTGTTCTATTATTTAACTGCTTTCAACGTCAGCACCACGTTCAACCCGACGAAAGTCGATTGAAAGCCGCCTTCAACGGACACAGCATCCCTCTCTCTCGCTCTCGCCGAATTAAAGAGAGCTTGCGAGCGAGTTTGTGTTTGTGTGTGTGACAGCAGGAGCGACGTCAACGTCAATCCGCTCAATATTTATACATTGAACCGAGTCTCCTGGCCCACGAGTCTCGCGGCCCTCACAACGCAGACGCTCCTGGTCCTCCGCTGGGGCCCAAAATAAATAACATCTGACAGCTGCCCAGTGTCCTGAGTCCTGAGTCCTGAATCCTGCTGAGTCCTGAAAGCACTCAACGGGCAGAGGAAAAGGAGGAAAAACGAGCAAAGCGGATAGCGATACAATTTCCCTGGGAAAACATCAAACCAAACTGAACGCGATCTTAAAACGAAAACAAAACAATGGGCGCCAAGGAAAGTGTCGAGGCAGCCGCCAAAATGAACGCCGATGGCTGGGGCCATGTGGAGGTGTGTATTATTTATATAAAAGAAAAGAAAACAAACTATAGCCCATCTGTAAATTCTTCTCCATAAATTGCCAAACTACCCAAATGGAAAGGAAAAGTTTTCAAACGAAACACTATTTAAAAAGTCATAAAATTAAGCATGTTTATTTATGACACGTTTAAATAGATGATATTCTGAGTTAATTTTCTGAAAGGGCTTTGAAAAATTTGTTAAATATAAAATAAAACCTTAGTAAAGTACAAACGATAATAAAGAACTCTTTGAAATAATTCAATTTAAACTCAAAAAATTATTGTATCAGAAATAATCTTTAAAAAATTATTTTCATCTTAAATTGTTAGCGCAAATTGAACAAATTACTTTTGAAGAATGAAATATATAAATAATTTTAATAATTGCTTAGGAAAATTGTATTCTGAATAATTCCACGAATGGTTATCAAATTTAGTAACAAAGAATGGTGTAATAAAGATTACTGCTTTCTTAGGATTAGGAAATATTCATTAAATAGTTAGGAATATCACCAGCGCAACTAAAAGAAACCACAAAATTAGTTTTTATCGAAATGTGGCCATTATTCCTCGGAAATGGCCTAAGACTACCACAACAGTCGCCTCTCTAGTTCCTCTCCCCGAAAGTGTCGATAGAAATCCCCCTAATATTGTCAACAACTTGATGATCCATTTCGATGTGTCGCTCATCGCCTCAAAGTGTGTCAGCCAGCCGATCCCAATTGCAATTCTAATGAGAGTGGAGAGTGGCGTGGCGAGAGTGGATTGATTTTAAAAATAAATTTGACAACAACACGTGCAGCCAGCACGCGAACGCAGAGCATTGAGAAGACAGTCCCATTTTCCTCATTTTCCATTTTCAGTTTTCCCCTTTTATTTTTATTTTCATTCCCATAACCACTCCGGATTCCCATTGATGTTCCCATGCCCATTGTGGTCCACTTGATGATCGCATGCATGTTGCTCGACCATATCTCGCCAGAGATCTGATCTCTTGAGAGACCCAAGAGCTATATGTGGGTGGTGTGGCGCTCGCGAGACGCCAAGAGATCCGAAAAGAGACCAAAGTCGCAGAGATGAAAATTCGTTTTGATTTTGATTTTCTTGCGAGCGTCGGTTAGTTGAGTCTGCGGCGTGCATTTGTGATGTTGTTTTGGCTTTTTCAAGAACTCGTCAGCCCCGATCCGTAAACCGCAATTCAAAGTTCGAACCGTTTCGGAAGCCGGCAACTGAATGGCCCAAACCGATTCATAGAACAGGTGTCTGTATTTGTCGCCCTCTGGGTCAACTGATGTAAACAAAAGTAGCTATATATAAACCTTTATATATATTCCGTTATAATGCCGATCGAAATGTGCTTCTATGCGAGTGAACAAACAACAAATGTGGCCAACATATGGGCCAGACTGTGAATATTTATAAAATTTAATCCACATAAAAATAAATTCTGCTCCCATCTCACCTCAGAATTTGCGTTCATTCGGGAGTGCAGTGCCTGCCTGAGTTGCCCAAGAAAATCAAATGTGAAAACTTCAAAGCACATTTTCCGCTTTTCATCGTTCGGCTTGAGTTATGCATCGCTTTTGTTTTTGACACCTACACAACTTTTGTGGCGGCGCAGGGGAAATTCGTATTGCTGCACCAGCGTTCGCACCTCTCGGTCTGGCTTGATGATAATAAACTGTGGCGTGGGTTGCTTCAACGCTTTAATCTCACAGAGCCAAGCAGCCAAAGACCTGAAACTTGTTGTGCAGCCTTCGTTTCAGAGATTTGGATTTTTTGTTCAATTTTATTGCAGCTTAAACATTGTATTTATTATGCATCTTTAACTTCCCACTTCTTTTTATCAATTGCCGTAAGATCGTGTATCTCAAAAATATTTATTGGTTTTTCTTAAAGGTATCAAACTTATAAAAAAATATATTTTTAGTTTTTATTTACAATTCTAATAAGTTGTTTACTGTTTTTGTATATCATAAGATAGTTTCATTAGGAAAATCCACAAAAGAATATTTTTATAATTTAAGTATTTTGTGGTCCACAATTATTTATCACATTTTTCGTTTAAAATAGAAGATAGAATGTGACAGGGGAGAAATTTCTTATACCAAAAATGTCTTGTTGGTCCCAAAATGGGAATTATTTGAATGTAAATACTATTTCTCCCACATTTATGTTAGTTATGCCTTATCAAGTTCTGTAGGTTGTCTAAAAACAGAGGTTCCATGATTAAATAAATAAAGTATTTAAGGATATAGTTACGTAAGCAAGTCTAAGTAAAATAAAATTCTATAATTACTCCTATTTCTTACAGCGATCGAGTCGCTACCACAACCATCGGCACAATCAGCGCTCACAGTCGCTGAACCGCGGACAGGCGCTCTCGCAGGCGGACGTGAGCGGCATGTGGTGACATCGGGGTGCCTCTGGTAAAGGTAAGCTCTGCTAATCCTGTCCCTCTAATCCTGGCCAGAAACTAACCGAAACTTCCTGCAGGATCTGCGGCTAGCTGCGCCAACTGCGCCATGGGTAATAAACTGAGCTGCTCCTGTGCCCCGCTGATGCGCAAGGCCTATCGCTATGAGGATTCCCCTTGGCAAAGCTCCCGTCGTCGCGATGGCCATCTATTGAGGTGCGTTATGATCTTAACTTTCAGGACCGAACCACTCTTTTAGCCCGACTCTGTTTATGTTCTCTGACTGCCGAAAAACGGGGGCTCCAACCACCACCGCCACCACAACCAACCAACTACTGAACCACAATTGAATTCGCTCTTTCGATAACTTTTTTCAATCCAACTAATTGTGTTCTTCTTCTGGTTTTTCTTTCTTTCACAAAAACAAAAAAACGAAAAATAAATCAAATGTATATAAAACAATTTACCAACTACAACTTACGACAAAATCGAACCAATAAATGTACACCTCAAATCCACAAAAACACAAATTGATGCGGCCAAACCACCAAACCACCACAACAACTACAAATGTATCCTGCTTCAACTTTTCCTTCCCACCTACGACTGCAACTACAACAACTATGAAAACAAAATGTGTTTCTTTGTTTAACCAACTACCCTCTCCAACCCAAAAATCAAATCTAAACCAATTGTGCCATAAAATTCGAAATCAAAATCAAATTTCCAACCAACACCAACTACCAACTGCATTGTCAAAAACTTAATTAACCAACGATAGTTCGTTCAGGTTGTGGGCAGAGGTCTTCCATGTATCAGCCAGCGGAGCCGGCACCGTCAAGTGGCAACAAGTGTCCGAGGATTTGGTTCCTGTGAACATCACCTGCATTCAGGACTCGCCCGAGTGCATCTTTCACATCACCGCTTACAACAGTCAGGTGGACAAGATACTCGATGTGAGACTTGTGCAGCCAGGTGAGTGCACATTCGTTGGGCGCCAATTCAACGGTTAACTCATTGAGGACTATCCCCTAGGTACACGCATTGGCCAGGCATCGGAGTGCTTCGTTTACTGGAAGGATCCCATGACCAACGACACCTGGGGCCTCAACTTCACATCGCCCATCGATGCCAAACAGTTCCGCGAGTGCTGTGTAAGTATTCTCTTACGGTCTGGCAAAGCAAACATTTTCGCATAGCGACGACAACAACAATGCCAACAAATCAAAAAAAAAAAAGAATTTAAAAAAACAAAAACAGCCAAAAAAACAAAAAAAAATATATGAAAATTAATTCAAAACCAACCTCAACTGATACCGATACCGAAAAAAAAACCTCAGCCACCCCAAAACAAATACAGCAACACTAACAGAGGTCTGGCGGCGAGCTGTAATCATGCCCGCCAGCTGGAGCACTCAGCTGAGCCACCACCCCGAACCACTGCCAAAACCAGAACCACCAGAACTACCATTACCACCGAACCAAGCCAAAGAACCGAACCACCCACCCACAAAACACTCATTGACACACAAACACACAGACTGACACTAGGAAGACACTGTGAGAACCAAGGTGCCGATTAAAATGATAACGATTATGATGTTGATGCTGCCGCTGACGACGATGATAACGATGATAATGATAATACGAGCCAGTTGATGTTTGCTTTGCATATAAAACACATCTCTCTAGCCATGTACTTTAAATATCCACAAATCAATCTCAAGGTTCAGTGCCGCAAGGCACTCGAACAATCTGAAGATGAAATCATAATTAAGCTCTTCATTCGCTCACTATCACCGCAGAGTCACGGTCACAGTCACAGTCACGCACAGTCACGTTTATGCCAAGCACGAAATTTGTATCTTGCTTTCCAAAATTTTAAATTGACCATGGACTGAGCCAAAAACCATAAAGTCAATGGCATTTAAACAGCATTTAAAAGCATTTCTTGGATTTTCATATATAATATTTAAAGTTCTATTTATTAACAATCTTTACAATTTCTGAATTAAATATCAAAATAAAACGTCTTACCCACAATAATTTTTTTTAAGGAAATCTCTCGTGATTTTATTCTATTAACTTAATTTGCAAGATCGGCTTGGCATAAAAATTATTACAATCTGAATCACAGTCATAAACGAAACGCTCTAAAAAACATACACCGTTACATAAATCCTCCCTGTACTCGCTAATTAGTTGGAAAACTTGACGATTTGAAGAAATTGGTTCGCTGAAATTTTAAGACAATATTTTTATTGGTTTTATGTTAAGTTTTCAAAATTATATTGAGTTGTATGTGGAAAGTTGCGTTTTTCGTTTTCTAGTTTATGTACATTGAGAAAATTGGCCAAGTAAAGTATAATCGTAGTATTTATAGACACACACACATGCAAACACAAGCACACACACAAAGACATGCATCTAAATAACGATCAAAAGGAAACTCACTTCGTAGTCAGAAATTGAGGCAGAGATTTGAGAGATGAGCTAAGGAGACTTTCGGTCCGATTCCCTAACCCTTTGAGGCTATTCTAAACTTAATTGTAAATATCCTCTGAAATTATGTAATTAGAATTATGTACATAAACTCCACCTTCTCATATTCTAAAATAACTAATTTGTACAAATACTATACTATATGATAACCAAAAACTGATAATAAGTTCAGCTAAACTTTACCCCTCTGTACTACTTAATTTCTGACCTGTTCATCCATAAAGCTATCATCTCAACGGACACATTTCAAACTGAAACTTGAACCCATCTATGAACACACTTACCATACGCCTATTAATATATAGATTCTAATATATTGTAGTCAGACATGAACTATCTGGACTAGCCAAGTCTAATAATTGTTTCATTTTCTTTTCTTACTTTGCGCATCATTTGTTGCAGGTGTCTTACATTGTAAAAAAATACGTTAGTATCGCTTCATATTATTTCTTTCCCACTGTGTACAGTGTACATCCAACACAGCCACACACCAATGAATAATTCTTGTTTCACCTAAGTGTCGTTTGATCGCCGATAAAGATAATAATATTTATAATGATGATAATAATATCCAAGTAAAAGTTCACCCTCCTTTAAACGAATTTAAATGTTCAAATCCGCAATGTCGGGCATGAGTAAGATCCTTCCATAAGTGTTTCACACCACAACAACCACATACTGAGTGTCGTAATTGTTGTAAACTTTTCTGCTATATGTGTCCACCCACCACAAAAACCACCCAACCACCAAAAAACCAAAAACCACCCACCAGCCCCAATTTTCCACCCACTCTCGTTTTCACTCTCAGTGTTCAGATATCTCACCTGAAGTTCCTTGTCCTAGGACTCATTTGTAAATGTGATTCATCCAAGTGTGAAGATGAACAGCGAAAACTATCCGATAACACACTGAACGCAGACAGACACACGCCACACACATACACACACACACACACTAAAATTTGTTAAATGTATTTATATTATATATTCTTTCATTTCTTTTTCTCTCTTCTAATCATTTTTCGAAATCATTGTCGAAACACGCCAAAACTCAAAAACTATAAATCCTTCGAAATATTTCATTTTTAATGCATTTCATTTCGTACTTCAATTCGAAACATTTTCAAAAACAACCGATACCAAAATGAAAACCGACGGATATTTCTTTCGAAATTTATGAATGAAAAAAAAACACGCAACTCCAACAAACAACAAACAAAACTCAACAACAACTCAACTACAACAACAATACCAAAAAAACCCCCCGAATAAAAACATTCTGAATGTACACCACGATTCTCTCTGAAATCTATTCTATATATGAACCCCTCGTTTTCCCCCCTTCGAAATGCTTTTATTATCTAACAATAATTTTATTTAACTACTCTAAATATATATTTATGTATAAATATATTTTCAACTCGATTCGTTTGCATTTCACGTGTGCCACAAAAACCAAAAAAAAAAAACTGAAAACCAAACTAAATTTCCGATTATAAACGATATGAATGAAAATGTATAAATGTAAATTGACAATTAAAATTTGACCGCAATGATGATGTCGATCAACGATGTAAATAAAACTGTGGAATCGTACAAATGAAAATGCAAAAGAAAAACGCAAAACGCTTTAAAACAATCGCACGTATCCTCTACTACAATACCGTTACCTATCCCCTACAATCCGTTTCCGACGAGCCCTAATCCGATCCCCCGCTCCCGACAATCCCGATCCATCCTCTCCCACTCCGAGATCCCATGCAAGTGGGCGGTTTACGAATCGAAGCAATTTTCAAAAATCAAAACCAGTATCACTCCAGTGAGAGCTAGATTTGATAATTAGGATCTGAAGAGTCTGAAAAATCAGACATCAGAAATCAGAAATAGATATAGCGTATAGTATATACTATATATTCTTGGAGCATCATTTATCGCCTCGAAGGCGGCTTCCATGGAGGTTTCTGAAACCAAACAAACGAATCCAGGCGAATTCGAATCGAACATTGTTATATTCAAGCAAACGCACATGCTTACAATAAATTAAAAGTTCAAGTTAACCCCAATCAAAGTTGTATAATCAAAAGAAACGTTAACGCTAGGCTAAGTGAATGTTCGGCTGAAACTAAAATCGCTATATCGCTATGTAGAACAATCAAGTTATCAGTTACTTCAGAAGCGCCAAGCGCTAAGGAGACAAAAAGCGAAAGCTTACTAACTAAGTATAACCAATCCAAATCTTGTTTGTGTCCCACACACTCTACTACCAAAAAAAAAAAAAAACTGCTATCACTATCTAGAATATTGTACTCCAGTAGATCAAGGCTTTCAGCACCCAAAGTCAAGCTTCAAACTTTACTTCCTGCACCCTTCTAAACTGCTACTCGTAGACGTTCTCTAAGATATTTCAGAACACTATCCTTTAGTTACGAAAAAAAAAAACACAAAGACACAAAGATAAATTCGCCGAGCTGCCAGCTCGAGCCAAAGATCTCCAAA